TCAACGAACCAGTTCATAATCCATAACAAAACAATGAGATTTTCATAACTCTATTACTACAAGTAAGAAAGCTTTAAATAGAGAGAAATCATCCATGAATGATGCTAAGTTATTAATGAAGAAGGAATAACGACTAAGGTAATAAGACATTAATTGAACTTTAGTTTTGTCGGGAAACCTATTATCCATTACATCAATTATCTATTGCAAAGGAAATAGTATTTCATTCATTCTTTTTTGAAAGAAGTGTCCTACAAGAAAATAAAAGAACAAATAGTTAATTCGACTATCAAAAAAAGATCGAGGATCCGTAAATCCTCATCTAGAAGGAAGTTTGCGTTGAGGTGCCAAATACATTCTGAATGATAAATAATCATTTAGTCTAGCTTCCTTATAAAAAAGGGTTTAAAGAAACCTAAATCCCAATAAAGGCTCGACCCATCGCTACGAGCCCTAGATATCTAGAGCTTTGCTAAAACAAGATAGCTAAACTACTTTAGAATGGCTTAATTAGACCTAGTTTTAGGCCACGTAACTCCCATCCTTTTATGTTGAGAATGTAATGGAACTAGAATGAGGACTCCCGAGCCTCATATTAAATATAAGCCTTTAAATAGAAAGCTTAAGTGGATTCGCCATCCAATCCCTATTAAAAGGGATTTATTCACTAGGATTATAAGGCCAAGGTGTTCTCTAAGTTTAATAGGAAATTGGGCTTTTGGCATATCTAAGATGCTAATAAGGATCGTTACAAAACATCTTTCACTATTCCATTCGGCCATTATAAATGGAACGTCATGCCCTTTATGCAAAAAAATGCCTTTGTTGAGCTTCAACAAATCGTGAACGATATCTACAATCATTATTTAGGATTTTTTATAGTCCGCATAGATGATGTCATGCTCTTCTTAGAATCCATAGATCGATATTTCAAGCATCTCAAAGCATTCCTTGTAGCAACTAAAAATGTTGGCTTGGCCATATTGTCTAAAAAGGAGAAACTATTTCAACCTAATATTAGATTCTTAAGATTTAATATCTCTAAAGGTCTAGTTGTCTTAATAGATAGAGCTATTGTTTTTGCAAACGATTCTTTAATGAGATCAAAGATAAAACCAAGTTGTAAAGATTTTTAGGAAGTTTAAACTATATAGGAGAATTCCGCAAAGATATAGCCTTAGATCGTAACCTTTTTTTTAAGATCGAAGAAAAATCTTTTGCCTTGGACTAATAAGCACATTTATGTAGTAAAAAGGGTCCAAGAAAAAGTTAAAGAGCTTCCTTACTTAGCTATCCCTAATCTCAATGTTTGCAAAATAATTGAGACAGTACACTCTAAAATAGGATATGATGGGATTCTTAAACAAAAATCCTCGGAAGGTAAAAAATAGTTATTAAGATTTACTTTAAGAATATGGAACCTAACTCAAAAGAATTATTAAAAAAAAATCTATCCATAGTCCTATGTTTCACTAAATTTGAAAGTGACTTAGTTAATGTCATACCCCAAATTTTCTCAAATTTTATTTATTTTTCATTTTATTTTAGTTTTTCCTTTGAGATTTTGGTTTCTTTTATTTTAGTTTTTAATTTATTTTAGTTCATGTTGTTTTATTTAAAAATAAATAAATTAAATAAGAAATTAAAAAAATTATTTCTTTCATTGAAATTTGGAATTTAATACAAAAAAATACAAAAAAAAAAAAATTGATAAAATACAAAAATAAAATGGTGGAGGGAAGCTTCCCTCCATCTCCCGTACAAATTTCTTCTACATCTTTAAGCGATTCTTGCCATCTTCTCAACCTTCAACTTGTAGCCCTTCACCCTTCCGTCCAATAACTCTCGCCACTCCCAAATGATCCTCGAGACAATTCATTTCTCCCCAAGTTAACTCCGTACAACTATTCGTCCCTAGCCATCACTCCAGTAGCCTCCCCTACTATAGTCACCATCTTACTAGGCAGCCACCTTACACGACCTCTCCCCCACGTCAATAATTTTAGCCTCCCTCAACATGTTGTAACTTACGAGCCGGAATCCCATATGCTTGTAGCCTCAACCTATAAACACCTACAACCATCCTAATACTATAAATTCTAACAGACCTTCTCTTACCTAAGTCGACCTCTATGCTATAATTTACAACCATCCTCTATCACCCTACAACCCTCACCCCGTTGTAACTCCTACAAGACTTCACCTAACCACAGTCACACGATTACCATAGCCGACAAACCCCATTACCGTCGTCAATCCATCACCTTAAACCATATCTTACAAGAAAAACTCCCTCGCCATCATGTTGGGGAACCGACACATATATACATACACATAATTCACAACTCGGAAGGGGAGAAATCAGCTCAAAAAAAAAAATTAAAAGGAACAAAATAATTGGTTTTGCAAAACTAATTTATAAATATATTTTTTAAAAATAATTGAAAATAACTAATCTATATAGTTTATATATTTTAAATCTAATAAAAAGTTAATAAATTGATAACTTATATAATAACTTAATAATTGAAAAATAATATTAAATGGATTATGGTTGAAAAATGAGAAATAATTAAAAATAGCTATTTGGTTTTGAAAAACTAATTTATAAATATATCTTAGAAACACAATAACTAATTTATATAATTTATATATTTTTAAATTTTAATAAATAGATAATTTATCTAATAAATTAAAAATAGAAAAATAATATTAAACTAATTATGGTTAAAAAATGAGAAATAATTGAAAAAAGTTAACATGTTTTGCAAAACTAATTTATAAATATATTTTAGAAATATTTTAAAATAGCTAATTTATATAATAAATAAAAATAGAAAAAAATATTAAATTAATTATGGTTAAAAATGACAAATAATAGAAAATAGTTAATTGGTTTTGCAAAACTAATTTACAAATATATTTTAGAAACAAAATAATTGAAAATAGGTAATTTATATATTAATATTTTTTAAATCTATTTGAAAATTTTGTAAATACAAAATTTACACAATAAATTAAAAAGAGAAAAATAATATTAATTGAATTATGGTTAAAAAAAGGGAAATAATTCAAAATAGTTAATTGTTTTTCCAAAACAAATTTACAAATATATTTTAGAAACAAAATAGTTAATTCATATGATTTAAATATTTTTAAATCTATTTGAAAATTTAATAAATTGATAATTTATATAATAAATTAAAAATTAAAATAATATTAAATTGATTGTGGTTAAAAAATGAGAAATAATTGGAAATATATAATTTATTTTGCAAAACTAATTTACAAATATATTATAGAAATAAAATAATTGAAAATAGTTCATTTGTATAATTTATATATGTTAAAATACTTTTGAAAATTTTTAAAAATTGTTCATTTATATAATAACTTAAAGATAGAAAAATAATATTAAATTAATTATGATTAAAAAAAGAAAAATAACCGAAAATAGTTAATTGGTATGCAAAACTAATTAAGTTATATATTGTACACTTCTGCAGGAGACCTTCGAAAAAATAATTGAGGAGGACGTTGCTTGCCGACGTACGTAAGGTACTTCATCGATCGACATCGACATGAATGAGATTTTTAAGAAGGCTATTGGAGGAGGAGATAGTATGAGGAAGAGGATTCATGGACTCGTGTCACATGCCTCTCACTATTACTTTAATGTAAGTACATACTCTAATTCAGCCACTTCGCGGTTCCATATCGGTAATGAGGCACGAGTAAAAGAAATTAGAAGATCGTACTTCTAAACATTCGTAATGCATTCGAACCTAGAGGGTTCCGTTACAATGCTTATAGCTATTACAAATGAGTTGAAAGAGTACGCTTGAAAGCAATATTCAATGATGCGAGCACATGTTGCTAAATATGCAGCAAGGCGCTTTATCCACCGAGCCTTCGACCGACGATTACACCCAACCTTCGACCGACGACCCTACCGATCGCTCCTAACTTTTATGATTTCTTTTTCTTGTAATATTAATAAACTTTATATATTTTTTTCAGAATTTAATAGTTTAATATATACTACATTTTATTAAATTTTATAATAAATTTTGAAATATTTAAAAATATTATGTATTAGGTTTTTTTTTTTAGTTTTTAAATTGGAATAGGTTAATTTAAAAAAAATTAAAATTCAAGTAAATATTAAAAAAAATTGAAAAAAAAATTTCCAACACTAAATTACAATTTTAGCAACCATTTTGACAAACAAATCACTAATTTTGTGATGATTTTGCATCGGCTTTGTAAAAACCGTTGTAAATTTGTCCAAATTTAGCAATGATTTTAGCGACTAAAAACCAAAATAGTCACAAATTCATCCATTTTTTTACGACGGTTTTTAGTTAAATTAGTGACGGTTTTTTCATCGCTAAATTAGCTATAGACTGAAAAAAATCGTCATTAATAAATTAGCGACAAGTATTTTGCGAAAGGTTTAAAACCATCGCAAAACCGTTACTAATTTAATTTAGCGATGGTTTTTTAAGATACTTATTTAATGTTTATATTTTTTTAAGGTTATTATTACTATCAATGAATATTTTGTGTAGTTTAAGATGTTTTTATTTGTAAAACTTATGTGGTTGTTGTATATATATATATATATATATATATATATATATATATATATATATATATATGTATGTATGTATATGTATGTATGTATGTATGTATTCAATTATTAATGTTTGAATTGATATGCGATTATTCGAATTCGTTAAAATAATGCAATAGACATGGTAATGAAGCATAAGAATCATTCAAAGAGATTAAATTAGCATTTCCTTGTATTAATTACTCATGAATATGGATGGCAGTGTGCTTGCTCAATTGGAGCTGGAGTGCAGTAACATACATATCCTGGTATTTCATAACAAAGAATAAAGAAGGAAAGAATTAACGTCTCGAGAGAGAGAGAGAGATAGGCCTGAAGAAAATGGAACCATATATGCACGCAAAATCTATATGGATGAAAAAATCTACAATGAGGAAGCACTTGGACACCGCGATGCAATATTCCTTGAATTTGACCCCCATTCTATAGCTTCTGCCACAGCTAATTGACGTTCTTTTGCAATACTGTCGGAGTCTTCCATGGTTGGCGGGGAAGGAGAAAAGACAGGTTCTGGACCTGCTTCTACACCGTCTCTAAGGAAACTAAGAGCACTGACCACATCACTCATCAAGGGGCGAACCGATGCTTCCTCATTGAGACACATGGCTGAAACTGCAACGGCTTGATTTAAGCTTCTAATTGGAAAATCTCCGTGTAGAAGTGGATCAGCTAGTTCTGGGAATCTGTTTGGCTCCTTGAATATTGGTTGTGCCTGAATAACAAAATTGAAAGCAAAAAAAATGAAATATTTAAGTTGCTGGAAACATAGATTAACAAGAGAAAATTAACGAAAAGTGGGATTTCTTACCCAAGCAACTAGATGTTGCTCATCGATCTGTCTTGTCGTGTCAATGGCCCTCTTTCCAGATATCAACTCCAGCAAAACAACTCCAAAACTGTAGACGTCTGACTTGACTGTAAGTTGGCCAGTTCTTTGATACTCTGGTGCACAATAACCGTATGTTCCCATTACCCTTGAAGATACATGTAAATTATCGCCAACAGGTCCAAGCTTTGCTAGCCCAAAATCAGAGAGTTTGGCATTATAGAATTTGTCCAGCAAGATGTTTGATGATTTTAAATCGCGATATATGACCGGGGGATTTGCCTTATCGTGCAAGTATTCTAAACCTTTTGCAGCTCCTAATGCTATCTTCATTCTTGAGAACCAATCTAATGGCTTTTGCTCTAGTGCAAGATCTGAAATTTGTATACATTCATCATTGCATTCGGAAACCAGCCGGCTTCAAAGAAACAAAAACAAAAACTAGTACCAAAACATAAACAGACCTAGTAGATGGTCTTCAAGGGATCCCATTGGCATGTACTCATAAACCAAAAGTCTTTGATCTCCGTCAGCGCAATATCCAATAAGATTTACTAGATTCTGATGGTGTAATAAACTCAGCATTAGCACCTCAACAAGAAACTCTCTGTTACCTTGCAAACCATTCCTGTCAAGTTGCTTCACAGCCACAACCTGAACAAATTAATTGAGCCAAGGTCAAATTTTCCCCTTTTTTTCCTATGTTAACATAAATTATATATATTAGAAGCCAGAGAGAACTGATCAGCAGATATCAATGAAAAAAAAAATCATTTACCTGGCCACTTTTATCAAGTTTTCCTTTATAAACTCTTCCAAATCCACCTTCACCAATTAGACATTCTTGTCGGAAATTCTTTGTAGCCGTGGCCAGCTCTCGAAAAGAGAAAGTTTGTGCTGCAATAACATTATTACCGCCATTGGCAGCTTCATTATGATCCGTAGCAATATCCTTATTGTTAGTAGATTCAGGTGGGGGTCTCGGCTTACAATTCTCTGTTGAAGAAAAACAGAAACAGAGCTTTCAAAGGTCTGCTCAAAAGCCATTTGGATGCGAAGATAAAAAATTAAAGACCTACCCGCTTGTTGCTGCGGTTGTTGTGGTGCGGTATTATGTACTTTCTGATGAGGAGGAGAATAGACCGGCTGTTGAGCTCTTCTGGAACTATTACTTCTCATCCTAGCTGCTTTCTTCTCATTAGATGAAAAACAAGAAAAGCAACCCATTCTTCTTCAATGGAAGTTGAATCGAAATAATTTCTTGATCTCCAAGGTATCAAAACTCAAAAGAATTATGTATCCTTAAAAGTACTAATCCAATGCACTGATTTCAGCCTTTGATCGAAACGATATATACATATATTCTAAAAGATTTGTCGAAACCAGCTCCAAATTTACAAAGACAGATTAATGTCTCCAATTAATGAGAAACCGCAGAAACTGAACTATAAAATTTGTCGATTTCAAGGAATTGGTTGGGTGGGTAACAAACTCCATACTTGATTAACCAAACCTAGCTAGCTAGAACCTAAAACTAGGACGAAAGATTAAGGAAATTTGAAAATTCAAAGAGAGCCAGGTATGTAACAGAAAATGGAAGGTCCTTTTCTTTTCCTTTCTGTCCCCGTGGAAATTGGATACACAGTTGAATGGGAGGTTTCAGAGATTTCTCTATGTGTGGAGGAGAATGCACCGTCCTGTGACGGTTATAATACCGTTAAGGTGGGATTGTTGTGCGCTGCCATGCATGTTTAACAAACCTTTTGAGACATTAGCTTCGCGATAATGGGAGCCCATGAATTGGCCAACCAAAATCTACATATATACGTGCATGCATCCAACTTGCACTGAAATATATATATATATATACCCCAAATTATCTTAGAATAAAATTAATAAATGACACCAAAACTAATAGATGGACGAACAAAACCTACCGATTTATAATTCTGATCACATGCATGGTAGTAGAGATTTTCGTAAATAAGTGGTAGAAATTGTATACAAGTCGGTCATCACTACTTATTTTCTTAATTCCTTGAAAAATCAACTTCAAGAGCTTCAATGAGAATTAGAAGGTCAAATAAAAATGAAGAAGTCGATCTAAAATGAGTTGTCATTCCAACATGCCTCTTATAATCATGTTACACACACACATACACACATATATAAAATTCTAAATATGAATTTAAGGTCTATTTTAGTAAGAATAAAAAAGAGCTCATACATTTAATTTAACAAAACAAAAGATAATAATTATTAAATGAATTCTGAAATATGATTTATCCAAAAATTTATCCTATTAGATGAAGCCCAAGATATAATTTATATTATTCTCTAACAATTTGTATTGTAAAAAAAATTTTGTTGACATTAAAGTTTTATATGTTAGTTTTGTTATAGGAGTTTGAGTTTTAAAATACTAATCTTATACAGTTAGTTTTATTTTTAATCAAATAATATTGCTAAAACTTATGAAAAAAAAATTGAAAGTTAATATGATAGTTAAGTAAAGGGACAGGATGGAAGCACTAGCCAGAGCAAACCAACTAGAATTAATGAAAACTCTCTCTGTTTGATACATTGATCATTAATGAAAAATGTGTTATTTAATTAACAATTGTTATATGTATCATGTATATGATTTTAAATAGGATTGTATGTCTCAATAAGAATTATTTGGACTCAAAAATCACCACTCGCTGGGATAAAGAGGACAGAAAGAGCTTGATTGAGTTATTCAATTAATACACCACCAGTCCACCAAAACCAATATTTGCAACCCAAAAATAAATAAAAGAGAAGATTATTTTGCCAAAGTTAATGTATATGTTTTGAAGATAGAAAAAGATCAAATCAGCAACATACATGTTTTTTAACTGAAATAATCAAAATACATGTAAGTGGAAAGAAATGTGAAAAAATCATCAAAACCCACAAAACCCAAAAGGGGATGGATGAATCGATCATCTTTTGTTGGAACAGAATACAAAGAAGAAGAGTTGTTCAAGCAAAAAATAAAAATAAAAATAAAAGTAAGCAAATGTTAACGTGCTTTTTGTAACTAGATTCGAATAAATTATTGATTAGAAACAAATTAATTACTTTTTTATTTTAAAAAATTAATTATTTAATTTTCTAATCAATATTGATAACATTTAATTTAATATGTATTTTTTTAAATTCTTATTATAAAAGTTTGTTTCAAACTTATAACCAATATTGATCACATTTAATTTAATCTTATTTTATTTTTTAAAAGAAAATTCTTATTAATATTTTCATTATATCTATTCTTTTTTTTCTATATTTTAAAAAATATATATAAATTGGAACAAATACAAAATGAACAAAAAATGCTAAATAATTAGTTTTTTAAACAAAGGAACTAATTAATTCATTCTCAAACCTAGATTGATTAATTTATAATTTACGTGGCTCCTCACCAAAACTACAGAAATTTTCAAAAATATTTTTTCCACAAAAAATAAAATATCAAAATAGAATGACATAAAATGTACCAAAAGGTGGACAAAAATATTTTGTTCTTAATACAACAATCAGCTCCAATTGAACTTCAAAATTCCTATCTAATGATTTTCAACACTCGATTCTCATATAATAAACTACAAGAGGGCACGTCCTGTCCCTGCTAAGTGTTGGAGAAGTTCGTGTCATACAAGTTTCTTCTTTCCATTAATTCAATTTATTTTTCCCTTTCGTTCTATGGGAGGGCCTATTGGTAATGGATGCATGAACTCAAGCTTCATGTCGTTCTGATCGACATTCTTGTTCCCATTCCAAGTGACAGAGAGGTCGAACCTTCCAACATTTGTGACAGAAAAATGATATTCGTATTCTCAAAGCAGCAATCATGGCTCAAGTGATACATTGACTTCAATGGCAGAGTCCGTTAAGATTATATCTTTTGAATTATCAGCTTTTGGGTGATTCAGACTGTCCAAATTTATCCTCACATGCAAAGGTTTCACAAAGATGAGGTCTCTCAAATTACAGTTTGATTTTAACAGGAGCTGAATGCATGAATCTTTTTCCATTCCTCCACCTCTTCCTGGGTTCAAAATATCAGCTATCCTCCTGGCATATTTCTGCTGTCCATCCTCTTGCAGATGAAGATGCCTTCTTAGTTTTAAATACAGTGCCATAGATATAATAACCTGTTATTGCAAATAGAATCAAAGATATTAGTACGAGTTTGAAACCATAAGAAACCAGCAAAGGAAAAAAAAGACATTCAAATAGAACTAGTATGAAGGGCATATCTTGAGCAAACAACTTTGTTTGGGAACCCCAAACCCATTTCATTCACAAACTTAACTTGATCTTATTGGTTCTGAATAAATAAGTTATGAGGTGTTAATGAACTCGTATCTTTGCAGCATTGCCTAAAGCAAGTGAACAAGCAAAATACAAACCGAGTATACCTCACTTGTCCCGGGACTAGTGTTGACAGCACAATCAATATGAATTCTCTCATCTTGAGATTGCACACCAGAGGTTGCATTATCCTCTTCATTAGTCATCTCTAATCCAGGCGTTGAAAATGCCAGATTATCCAATTCATCGAACCACTGTTGGGAAACACCAACCTGCACAAACCAAAACCTGTACTTCTAAGCCACGGGAAATACAGGACTAAAGGCCAAAAGATCAAAAGCAAGGAATGGAAGGTAAAAGAAGAAAAAAGACAGAGAGAGAGCTCTGCAATTTGAGAACCTTCTCTGAGGATCCCACTATATCTTTTGCTCCTAAGACTTCTGTAGCAGCCCCTCTTGCCTGGCGCCAGATACATCCTTCTTGTAGGGGTTCAACAAGCTTAGTGTCCATAGGGATGTCTACGTTTAACCTTATGTCAATCCTTCCTGTTACATGCACCAGAAAAGATGCCATAGCTGATTATTTAATGGTTTGAGGCATAAACACAAATAGGCACCAATATAAACTAGGGATGTAAATCAGCATAGCTTGCATGCAAGCAGCCTGCCTGCATGGTTTTCCTATATATCTTGAGCGAGAAAAAGAGAGCTGCCTGCACACACTAGATTTTTTTGGGCACTAGGTGCGGTGAGAAAAGACGAGAAAAAAGTCTGCTTGCAATAGAAATATTCGTGGAATAACAAAAACAAAAGCATTTCACCTTCTTTAAATTTCAAAGTGAGCAATAAAACATTTCATTGTTCAAATGCAGAAGTATGCTGAAACAAAAATCAAATTGCTCAGTTATATTTAACAGGAATTCCCCTACATCTTTGTTCCACTAAGATCGTGATAAGACTGACAGAAAATTGAATCTTGAGCCTAGCAAGTAGAAATTTATTTGATTTCAAACAAAAATCAATCATTGTGTCAGAGAACATCAACAGAGCAACTGTGGTTATGTTATGTGTAATGCATTTTTATTAGAATACTCAAAACAGTTCAATTATTGGTCATTCATAAGTTCAAATTAAGTAATTTTAGTGTCGATGCAGAAAGCCAATCTGCCACATTATTCAAGAACTTTTTAATCAACACCTAACTCCTGAGGGAGAAATAGCATGTACACAAGGAGAATGAAATCTAGAGCAGCAAACACTCCATCTAAATTTCAGTCACCGAAAACTTTATCAACCCAAGATACGATTATAAATCAACACATCTGAAAAAAGGTCCATGCAGTGCACCTTGGAGATATATGATAGAAGGACGTTTAAGATGGTTTGGCCATGTCCAGCATAGACCACCAAAGGCCTTGGTTTGGTTAAGTGATAAGTTGACAGGGAAAAGGGGGAAGAGGCGAAGAGGAAGACCTAAGATGGGACAGATGGAAGTGGTATAGGAGCCACGTCCAGCATAGGCCACCAGAGGCCTTGGTTTGGGTAAGTGATAGGTTGACAGAGGAACAAGGGAAGAGGTGAAGAGGAAGACCCAAGATAGCAAAGATGGAAGTGGTATCAAAGGATCTAAAATCTCTAGACATTGAGGTGGTTATGACAGTGCTGAATGACACAGTAGGATCCATATAACCAAGAAGGATCCACATAGCCAACTCCAACTAGTTTGAGACTGAGGCTTTGTTATTGTGCAAACTGTGCCAATGCAGAAAAACAAGGTTGCATGTTGCCGTAAAATAAAGTTCCAAATATTATCTCACATCAAAAGTACAGAAATGAATAAAACTAGACAGTGAAATACCTGGCAACAAGCTGAAGCGCTCCAGATGATCAGCTGATGCTCCAGCACTAATGAGCCAAAAACATGGGCGAAAGAGGGGAAATATCAGTGGGGTGAAACAGGTCTACATGCAACTGGCAAGTTAGCCAAAAAGGAAAAAATATCCAACCACGCAGAATTTAAAGGAAATTCCATTCAGCAAACTCACTGTCTTAGAGATAATTGAAATCACTATTTTTTAAGAAGGAACTCAATTTGAATTGAGAATAAAGCAACCTTGCAGAATTTCAGTACACATACTCACACAGAATAAACTCTCTCCACAGGAAAGGACAACCAGTAAGGTAATCCAAGGGTCCCAAAATTTGAAAACTGGAAGTTTGAACAGGCACCAGATTCTCTACTTATTTTAAGCACCCTATGTGCAACTTCAAGAAAATAAGGGAGAAATGAGTAATAAACCAGAACCACAGCAGATGAGCGTCAAGATGAAAAAAAGAACGAATTTGCTCCACCTGTGTCACACATGACTATGTGATTCTCAAAGGTTGTTAGGGCTGATATGAGAGTGGCATGTTGAAATTCCTTTAGTGGACAATTGACATCACTCTGCTGTTTCAAGTAATCGATTGGTATCTCTTTCAAAAAGGAAAGTTTTTCCATTATCAACTGTCCAAAAGTCTTCAAAATGTTGGGAAATCCTTTTCAGAATTTTGATAAGCAAATATTAGACATGAATAGTATAGAATATTATGACAAAAGAAAAATCTAGAAAAACAACTGCAAACCTTTGATGCATTCTTTTATCTCTCCTGACACTAAATCCATCACCCACAGATTTTCAAAGCTGCAAGTCCAAACAAAACTTCACAATAGACCCCATAATTTACTTAAACATAATCAAAATAATGATCCAATATGAAATAGATCCAAACGCTAGTTTATGAAGGCTGTTCCCTGCAACAGTGAATCCTTTGACCTTCTAAAATTACTTTCTATCAAACACTAAAGTTTGCATGGAAGTCTGCTATTTGGTCTGATGTGGAGAATCAATGGAGTGCAATAAATAGACATAACTTTTGAAATTTTTGCTTTTTCTTTCTTCTGAGATGGCTCTGCATTCATGCATGAATTACAGCGAGGGAATAACAAGGAAAAAGAGACAACCTTCCAAAGCCCCCAAAAGTAAAATTAAATAATGCACAGAGAGATTCAAGCAAACATCTATGAGAAAAGTCTGTTGAACCTATCCTTAAATGCCCTTTAAACATGGTTCATAGGCAAACCAGAAGTATATGCCAAGGAAACTACCAGTAAGAATCAGAGGCACATTCCAATGAAAAACTTACAAAAATTAAAGCAAAACAAAATTTAAAGCAGCCAAAGCAAATAAATTAAGCAAGAAAGTAAAAATCTGACTGAGGCATCTGTTGCTTATTAAGAAGTCACCATAAGAAAAGCAACCTTACTTACCTATGGCTGATGATTAAGAAACTACCATCCACTGACTTCAACAGATGCCAAGGGAACACCAGAGGCCGTGAATCAAATTCTACAGATCTCACGTCAACAGTATTTCTAAAACCCAGCTTATCCATAATCCAGGTCCAAACACTATTATTTTTCTTACTGAAGCTACAAGTTGGGTAAAGTGTCTCTAAAACCCGCCTCTCCAGATCAGCTCTCCTGATGGCATGGTTCTTAATAGATAAGAACCAATACAATAAAATAATAAGTGACAAATCTAAAAATAGCATAATTATATGTCAAGCACTTTGTTGATAAAAATGAGAACTTCTTATCTTTTCAATCAATATTGAAACTGAAATTCAACATCTATCCTAAGAGACACATCAAACTGCACCAGAGCATAAATCATGATTCAAAAGCTTCCAAATGCGTACCTCTGAATCTACAATATACAGGCAATCCTCCGCATTGTCATAAAAGGAAGCTGCAGGACGTGCTAGCTTAGCAGACTCAAACTCTCCATCCTCAAATCCTGGGCAAGAACCAATCTGGTGTATGAAAAATGTAAGTCTAAACTCAAGCTTTATCTTTATCTTCACATCAGCTTTTCACAAATAGTAATGCAAATACAAAATAAGGATAAATATGATGCACTAGAAAAAGATGTGCAAGAAAATCTCTGAAACTTTAGTGGTAATATCAATGAAGTTCTGCAATGCCCAAAAATCTACTAACGGAACTACTAAACCTACTCAGGGATATCACTTGCATGATAGACAAAGAAATGGATTAAGTTATATATTGCCAGGTTTGGGCACCACTTTTGAGAAGTCCATGCCAATGCATGGTTGACCATCCTTATGAATGGCTGATGAACACTATATTTTCTAACCAACGAATAAATTCATGAAGAATGTAATTAATCAATATTCAATCAACAAGATTTGTCAATCACTTAATAAATATATATAAAACAGAAGCTCCAGTGTTGGAGAGCTTCCATTTTTGCAACTTTGACAGTTTTCCTCCCAGTAAATTTATGTCACGTGTACTCTTTTAAGTTTGCACTCGTCCACAAATATCAAAATTAGATTTATGTAAATGCATTAGCGGTTTGAACAGAGAAATTAGCAAATTTTTTACTAACCAAAAACGTTGAATGAAAATATTTCACAATCTGTTTGTTGTTATTTATTTTACATAAACCAAATGATAATTCATGTTATAAGATTCAGATTAAAATCCATATTGAATATTTTACATTAAGTATAAGACAACAAAAATAAAAACGAGATAAGTGGATCAAATATCAGATTAATCTATTTCAGGTGGCTAAAACTAGTTTTTGTGTACAGAGAAGTCATTGAAAAAAAAGGAAAATACTCACATGTTTTCAGAGATAAAGCAGAGACAACAAAGTCATGTGCAGAACACTAAGAATGGAGCAATCTAAGATGGTTAAACCATCTAATCCTAGGCTAGGTCAAGATTACTAGATCATGAGGATAAACTAAATCCTTGCTGAATTGTACATCTTGTACATGGCCTAAAGTATATACACTCAGCTGCGAAGAGGCATAAATAGTGGATAGATTAAAAAGCTAATATATTAGCCAGGCAGCAAGATACTTCAAGCCAGGTGCAATCAACTTCAAATGATGAGCTAATTAAACTGTTTGGTGATTATATATTAAGCAATGAAATTCAGGTAGGCAGCTATTATCTTTTAATGAACAATAAAAATCTTTGCTCCTAGAAGGATTGAATTCCCAAAAGCGGACAACACATGGCTTAAATTAGAATCCTTATCTTGTGCTTAACTAGTTTAACCAAGTTAACTGGGTCCCAATCAGTCTAGTATTATGTGAAGGCATCAGAAATTTCTCATGCAGCTCTCAACACACTTTTTATCAAGACACTAGCACAGGGCACTTGCCACAGAAGGACTTAAAACACCATTGCATCCATATTTAAGGTCATTTTATATAACAGCTATACATACAGAGTCCAGAATCTTTCCGCTGCCATCAAATACAATAATGCGATGATGATTGCTATCAGAAAGGAACAGGCGGTTGCCACTTTCATCTGCAGAAACACATCCTGTGGAAAAGTGGCATCGAATTTTTCAGAAAACAATATATATTTTTACTTTACAAAAACATGTTTATTTTCTATTTTACATACAAATCAACAAATTTTTGCTCATTTCAGTTATCTTGATTATTCAAAATTAGCATTCTCTAGATTTGAACATTCAAACAAGTTTAAGGGAGCAAATGACAAATATCGTTTTTGTTATTTATAATATGTCAAATGTTTCTTAATCTAAATGAAATACTTCGATGTCTTCCAACTTGTAGAACTAATCAAGCATACTCCATATTTAATCACTTATTTCGTAAGGTCAAAGGGCGCACACTTTGCTATTTTGGTCTTAAATCTAACAGATTTTCACTATTTCCTATTTTGATATATATATATATTAAGACACTTGATTTATTTGATAAATGGAGATCATGAATAGAAACCGCACCGAGGAAACAGAAACCCTGCCAGGAAAAGCTATATACCTGGGAAACAGAGAAGTAGGTTCTGAAGAGAAGAGCACAAATGAGGTTCTTTGATGACTTCTGCTTGTTTCGCCCAGGTGGTTTTCAAGTTGGGCCCAGAATTCCCCTCGTCAAATTTCACATTTTCTTGCACATTTAACTCCTCAATAGCTGCAAAAGGGCATCAAGTAAATTAACAACCAGTTTACTTTTGAGAGCACTTGTGTGAAAAAAAAAAAAAAGAAAAAAAAAGAAAAAAAAAGAAGCATCATGTATCAACAAAAACTAAGTTTTTATAATAAACTGTGAAAATAATACATTAAAGCAAGGAATGAATAAAGAAGAGGAAATGGTTAAAGGAGTCCATCATCACATTCAACATCATGTCAGCGAAGACATTTTTGCACTTCAAAAATTAATCCAAGATATAACAACATAACATAGAGGCAGTTGTTAAACAACTTAAATAAATTTATCATTATACCTCTACAAAAGTTTTTGCTGTTAACGACGAACAACTAAATACAGCAAGCAGACTATAAATCTGAACCTCTTTGAATAAAGAAGATTAGAGCAAAATATCTCAATTATTGAGTAGGAAGAGAGGGAGTAACTTTTAGGTTGCAACTTTCATGCCTGATGGAAAAATCATCACTTGTAAGCAAAAAATATTAAATTGTAGTAAACTGCAAAGCAATTTCATCCCATTTCGTATACAAAAAGTTGACATACAAACCTTTGTTAAAGTTTCCAAGATCCAGATCCTTCTCATGGTAAATAACAGGATTCTTGAAATCTTTGAAGAAAATGCAGTGCAGCCCATTCCCCATCTAAATATTTCAAGAAGATAAATGTCTAAGTTTAACTGCAAATATATGTGAATTCTTAAGAATAATAAAATCACAAGAAACTCAAACAGTAATCCTTATGAAAATAAATTCTAGGTGTGTAAATATTTATGACAGGATCAGACAAATTCTATGGTTCTAATAAGAAGGCATACTTATTATGTTCTCACATCCAGGTAAACATCAACTTAGCATGACTATGACAGATTGGAACTGCATAGTGTTTACACATACCATTTGATGCGTTTCTATCCAAAGAAATTCCTATTTCACCAAAAGTAAATATTTCCTCACCCTTGCCAAAACTTTGAAATTTATAGACATTTTGAACATGCATACAGTAGATATCTTGATAGCTTTCCTCCACACTTTCATGCTTTGACGTAATTGTCCTTAATGAAGATATTATGACCTTTTTAATGAAGAAATAAAGACTCTCAACTACAGGAGCACAGGAGAAAGCTAGTAAAACTCCCAACTCATGATAATAATTCCCATAAATCAACAATATGTTAAACAAGAGGATCATTTATTTCTTAGATGGGAAACTTTTCTTACTATAGAGAATCCAGACATACGTGGGAGCAACACTGCAAGCAAGAGATGAAACACGTTTCAATCAATCCTACAACATGTCATCTTCAATAGTACACGACTGTAGAAAGAAAATCATCTCTCATAACTTTAACAGTCAAAGACTTCTTATATTATCATGTGACCTGCAACTTATCACTGTAATTTTGAAGTTAAAATAAGTAGTATTACCTCACCTCTAAGTTCTTGTTGGGCAGTAAAATGGGAAATGTAATGTATTGCTTCATTGTCAGTTCAAGTAGATGAATTTGATCAGCAGCGGAGCAAACCGAACTTCCAGAATGAATGCCCATAACATGAAGCCAAGGAAATCTGGGATAGAAAAAAACAATAATATCCTTTAGAAAAAAAAAATGAAGAACCCAATAATCTCAATCCAAATTAAACAAATGATTGGATATTCCACTACCTCTGCTGCATCAGCTTGACTTTTTCAAGCATACTAACTATTTGGGAATCCTCAAGGAAGTGTCCAGCAAGAACTAAAAAGGTTCCATCTTTCTTGAAAAAATCTACTTTTCCATCGATCGTGTTCAACCAACAATGATCTGGTCATGTACATTCATTCCAAAAGTTGATAAATCCTTGCACACAAAGCAGACTAAATCCATAAAAAGTCGGCAGTTTTCAACAAAACCTTGAAGCTTATCGAGACTAGATTGAATGAAGGGAAGTAAATCATGCAGTTGGAGAGCAAAACACTCATTTGATACTTTTGATGTTGTTGAAAACCTGAAAGTGATTGTCATTCATAAGTACAATAAAATTACCACCCAACTAACTATAATTATAGCTTGCGGTATATATATAATGAAGTAAAGGACTGATTGCACTAAAAGAATGAAACAAAAAACACAAAAATGATGAAATTTACTTCGATATTCAAACCTTCTTGTTCGTAAAGTACTGGGGTTGCTATCAAAAGAGTGAGGCAGAGGGATTGAAGAGGAAAGCGATAAATTTATAAATCCTCCTCTAGATTGTTGCAACTGTTTTCCTGCAAGCAAAAATGAAAATCATCAATCTTTTTTAATAAACACTGGCAATCCTTTATACAAAAATATAAAAATTAAAATTGTGAAGGCAGACCTGAAAAAATGTGAGGCGAAAGCCTTGAAATTTGTGTCCAACGTCGATATAACAGAGACATTTTCTATGGAAAAGTAGCAAGAGTTTCCTCAGATAAAACGTTTCGTGTTTCTTGTGGAAATTAGGAGAAGCGGGAGGGTTTATGGTATAAGCATCATCTCCGGGTAGGGTTTAAGCCGCCCGGTTTTGAAATCAAATCGAGTTATATTAAGGTGTTTATGTCGAAAATACTGTCAAAATGGTGTTTTTAATGTCTAAAAATGTGGTTTGGTTTCCGGTAGAGAAAGGACCAACGATGGTTGAGGAAGAGAGGGGTGACAGGGAAAGGAAAAAGGAGTAGAAAGTGGAAGGAGAAAGAAGAAGGGGAAAGGGTTGGATGGGTTTTCGATCGATGGTGAGCTATTGCTGGTGATGATGGAAGCGGCGGAAAAAAAAGAGAAGAAGAAGAAGAAGAAGAAGAAGAAAGGAGAGAGAGAAAAATTAGTTGGGGAGAAAGAAGTGAATTTTTTATTTAACAATAGTGGTACACTAGATCACCAAAATTGTAACGCTGCAGCCCATCATGCCCCATGGTGCCCACGGGCTCAGTTTTAATCAGGCTTCTTACGACGTATTCGGTTTTTGCAATACAGACTACGGCCCATTGAAACCAACTGTTACAAAACACTTCTTCCTTATATATATATATATATATATATATATATATATATTCGGTTTTTGCAGTACAGACTATGGCTCATTGAAGCCAGCTGTAACACGAGTTGGATATTCACGCTATGATGCGATCAAATAATTACATATATGAGATTAATAATTTGTATGATATAGCACAGATAAAAATTTTATTTTTCATAATTAATATAAATTGATTTTAGAACATAAAAATTAACAAATAACAAATAAGTGGAGTCATGTTTGTAAATATATAATTAATTTATAACAAAAAAACTAATGATATATATTTCAATTATCTTGTTTAAAAATATTAATTTTAGAATATAAAAAAGACTAAATTATAAATAATTAATGTTATATATGCAGATACATAATTAATTTCTAACAAAACTAATTATATATATATATATATATATATATATATATATATATACTTATTTGTTTTTATTATTCCTCTATTTATTAAAACAAGAAATATAACCATTGATATAGCAAAAAGGAAAAAAAATATTTTTTGAATCAAAGGAACTAATGGTGTTACGTATGCAAATAAATAATTAATTTTCAAAAAAAACTATATATATATTAAGACCATACTTAGTAGATTCGGAGTATATAGCATAAACAATTTTTTTTGATAAAAAACCATCTAACTTGTATGGAATTTATTAAAATCAATAATCGAATTAAAAACTATTACAAAATTTGTTCCCATAAATCTTACTTCTTAATTTATAATGAAAGAGATTCTTAAATTACAAATTAAATAATAAATTAGTTCATCCGGTTTTGAAAAATGAATTAATTAATTTTTTATTAGTGTTGACCATGAATAATTTATTTTTTTATTTTTAAAAAGTCTTTTTTTATATATTTTTTCTATATTTTTTAGTCTTTCTCTATTTTTTAAAACAAAAAATAAATAAAAACATTGAAACAACGAAAAGTGACAAAAAAATAGTTTTTGAATCGAAGGGACTAAAGGTGTTTATGTATGTATATACATAATTAATTTTCAACAAAGCTAAAAAAATCATATTTATCAACAAATAAAATTTCATAAAAAATTTAATTTGATGAGAATTTTTATAATAAATGAAAAATTTAAGAGATTAATTTTAATCAATAAAAAAATATAATTTGATATATGTGTTTATTCTAAAATTTAAAAACATAAGAGGCCAAAAACATTTTAAAAAAAAATATGAGGAACAACAAGTATATTTTAAAAAAAGTGAGGTAAAAATAGACAAAATTAAAAAGATGAGATTTCAAAATATTTTTAAGAATATGAGGATTAAAAAATATATTTTGAAAACATAAAGGACAAAAAAAACGATAAGGAAATCACGAAAATACCATGACACAAAATAAAAAAATAACTAAAAGCCAAAAGAGGGCTTTGGCTATAGAAAGCGGAAGGAAAAAAAAAAAAACAAAAGAGAGCCTTGGCTTAAAAAGAAAAAAAATTATTTTACTATTCAAATGAAGAGTAAAACGTGTTGGGTAAAAACAAAAGAGGGCAGTGCTTTAGCTTAAAAAAAATAGTGTTTTATTGTTCATTTGGGGTAATATGGGAAGTTCACTATTCAAATGAACAAGTGAAAATCTCATATGTTTTAGTGTTTAGTAGAATACTATTTGTGGCTATGATATAAATCAAATTATTTCATTTGGCTTGTGGTGATACAACAAATGATCTCGTATACACAAAATTTTAAGAAATTTTAAAATACTCAAGAAATAATTATACCATGATCTATTTTGAGAAGAGATATATATAAAAAATAAAAATAAAAATCACATTCAAACTCACTTAAAATAATAAAAATATTTTCAACTTTGATCAATTTTTTCTTTCTATTTCTCTATAAAAAATATTATTATTTACTTTTGAATAAAGATTTTAGAAGACCATGACTTCCAATATATAGCACATTCAATGAATGATAAATTCTCCACTAATTACAAGCACGAAATCGCAATTAATAATAAGGGTGACTTATAAGTATAATTCCAAAATCATTCCATCGACTACATGTTCGTTGCACCTTTTTTCCCTCTCGCCATTTTTCCAAAAAACTCGACAAAATCATAGGATGGTAAAAAAAAAAAGGTTTTTTCCTGTTCAAATGAACAATAAAACGAGGATAATATAGGAAGTTCATTGTTTATTCACCGTTCAAATGAACAAGTGAACATCCCAAATGTTTTAGTGTTTAGTAGAATGTTATATCAATTTTTGACATTCATTTAACAATAAGTGGTACTCGTTGTATGTGATAGGTGCATAATTTATATAATTTTTATGTCCTTTTACATTAAACTTACTAATGTTTATTATTATATTAAAGTAAATAAGAATAAGTTAACGATTTTGGATTTTTGTAGAAAAAATGACAAATTGGAGCAAATAAACCTAAACCAAAATGCATAAAAAGCTAAAGCCACCAAGGAAGCAAAGAAGTCTCACGGTCGTGTGATCTACAAAAGGAAAATGCTACCGGTCGTGTGAAACAAAGAAGAAAATCGTGTAGATGCTCAGCAAAGAAGACACACGAGCATTAGCAATCAATACGGTTTAAGTAAGAAAAATGACACGTCCTCTCGTATGTGTTAAGGTCGAGGTGTCTTCTAAAAAGAAGGAAAAGACACGAGTAGAAACTAAAGGACACAGGATGAAAAGCAAACTAAGCATAGCCGTGTGCCTCGACCCAACAAGTCATATGCCACCAACTCTTCAAGGCTCCAAATCGTGTGAAACAAAAGAGCAAGTCGTGTGCTTCGACCAAACAAGCCGTGCGGCTATGTTGAGCTGCCATATGTGTGTTGTAACCCTACTTTTGGTTATAAATAAAGAAGTTAAGGTTCATTCTAGAGATTTCCCCACTCTTGTAACCACCACCGATAGAAATGCTCTCTTGTAAGCAAATTATGCAATACTAAAAATCTTTCTTGGTTTAAAAGAAAGCTAAACCTTTTGGTGTAACTTATTGTGAAATCTAAACGAGTTTTTATCTCTAATCATATTCTTTAAAGTATTTTATATTTTTTTATATTATTTGAATATGATTGTATGATTGATTGATTAGAGTGCATGCTAGTTAGTTAATCATTATAATATATTGTTAACTAAGTATTCAAGTCCATAATTGCTTGTCTAAATTTGTTTGTTGTAGCAACTAGGGGTTAATGATTGTTGTATATAGTTTGAATTTTGAGGGCCAATAATATATTGAGCCCATTAGGTTTTTTTTCTTTATAGGTATGAGGTATTTAAATCTCTTTATGACTCTGTTTAGGAAAGATAGTGAAAGGTATAGACTTTGTATTAAACCTTCGTGGTTCTTGTATTCTCCCGTTATCAAGCTAACAAAAATTCCCTCCGACCCGTGGAGTAAGCAATTTGTCGAATCATATAAATCATATGTGCCGATAATTTGTTTAGCTTTATCCTTTGATTATTATCTATCATTACTTGTCTTGTTTCCACTGTTTGTCATAACAATGATTATAAATATTTTTTCATTTAATCCCTTAAACATAATAAAACTAGATTAAATTCTTTTAACGTCTAAATGGATTGTTTAGCTCCATCTATCTCTCTATCATTTATTACTCGCTATTGAATTAAATCTAGCTAGCATTTACTAGGTTATTCAATAGTTAGGGATTAATCAAATAGCGTCTATTTGGTTAAAAATCTCTAAGAAAATATTAGAGATAATATATATGCTCGTTGTCTTATGGTGGATATTCATAATAAGAATGGATTAATGTATGAATTGATAATTAACGAGTGAATCAAAAGTGGAGACTCACCTTCAACTAAGGCTTTCATTGTCATAGTCATCTCTCTATTTAATTTTGTTTATCTTTACTACTCTCAACAAACCAAAACCTCCTCTTTTTTTTTTATTTACTTTACTTTGAAACAATCGGAAGATAAGGGACTTTGATTGAACCATCTCTTCGTGGGATCGACCCCGACTTACCCTAATTGCGATTTTCTAATTCACTCTAACGAGGAGACAAAAAATATATAAATTTGTTAGTGGAGCGACATGTCATCACAAAAACATCCTTGTAGTTTCAATTTGAAATTTAGATCTTTATTGTTTGGTATGGTAGATAGCAAAGGTCCCTCCTATTTCTAATCAGTACAATCGCCCATTAATTTTGATTTTAAATAAGAGGGAGATATACGTAGCTATTATAGAAAAAATGAAATTTTGATTAAAAATTAATGAAAATATTGAACTTTAAAAAAAATCCTAAAAATGTGTTAAAAAATTTGCCTATTTTTTGCTTTATTTTAAAGACAAAAAAAAATGATTACATTATTTTTTGTTAATTTATGTTTTTTTTCAATTTTTTTTATTTTTC